ATGTAAACAGACAGATATCTCCCCTGTCAGCACCAGTATGCTGCTTTGTATTGCTCTGCATAGCAGAGCAATACAAAGCAGCATGCTTACATAGTAAAACGGCACACAGTTAACCCTTTGATCGCCCAGATGTTAACCCCTTCCTGTACAGTGTCAGTGCTTTTTATTAGCACTGATCACTGTATTAGTGTCACTGGGGATGTCATGGGCAGTTAGTCATTTCCACCCAGTTACAGACTGCCTGCCGCAGTCCTGCTATGAGTCGCTGATCGCTGCCAATACTAGTATAAAAAAATTCCAGTATATATACTGCCATTTTTAGACGCTATAACTTTCACGTAAACCAATTCATTTACACGTATTTTGATTTGTTTTAGCAAAGACATGTAGCAGAATACATTTTGGCCTAAATTTATGATGAAGTTTGATTTTTAACATTTTGTTACTAGATATGTGTTCAAGCAAAAAGTCAAAAATGTTTTTTTTCATAATTGTCGGTCTTTTTTTGTTTATAACGCAAAAAATACATAAAGCAGAGGCAATAAAATACCACCAAAATAAAGCTCTATTTGTAGGGAAAAAAAAGGACATACATTTCATTTGGGTGTAGTGTTGCATGACCGCGCAATTGTCAGTTAAAATAACTCAGCGCCATATCGCAAAAAATGGCCTGGTTAGGAAGGGGGGAAATCTTCTGGAGGGCAAGTGGTTAAAGCAAAAGGTTTAGCACAACTACCAGGTAATCTGCATTTGCAAATGCAGCCTCCCATAAAGGTTTTCTTTGGTCTTACTTGTTTGCCCAGCAAGTCTTGGGTCATCATATATGCCATGTAGCCAAGTTACCATAGTGTGGCCTTCCTGTCTTATAGTGTATATGGCTTTGTGTTTTATTCCAGGCAAAGGATGAAGACGAAGGGGATTGTCCCTCCCTCCATGTCTGGCAGTTGTGCAGCCTGTGTGGACAATGTGCTGTACTTGTTTGGAGGCCATCACGCTCGTGGAAACACTAACATGGTCAGTAAATTCTAGCAAGCATTTATTTGGTGCTTACACAATACTTAATGCGCAGTCTCATCTCCGTCTCCTCTGTTCTTGTATTTTTATTTTCAGCTATTTATGTTGAATCTGAGCACCAGAGATGGTGAATTTTTCTGGGAAAAGGTGGAGTGTAAAGGAACTCCGCCGTCACCGAAGGACAAGCTAGGGGTCTGGGTGTATCAGAACAAGTGAGTGACTGTTGTCCCTTGTTTACTGATTAAATATTTGATGCCAGGCAAAGATCAGGAAACTGACCCATGCAATAGATCCTTTTATTCTGTTGCTTATACATGTTTACTTGCAATCCGTTGGACTTTCATGAACATTGAAGACGTTTCATAGCTTCTCCAAGCTACTTTTTCAGTTCCAGCGAGTGTCAGGACGAGGTACTCATTTTGGATAGAGAGGACAATTGGTTTTCAAGAGGCATGAAAGAGGCCATCTACTGTATGTCAAACTGGAATAATCATCCCTGAGCAAGGCCGAGGTCTGACAAAATTTGTCTTCCACAAAAAATACCACTTTGACATCTCTCCCGCAGCGTTTTGACCACAAATCACACCTTCACCCATGTAAATCAGATTACACTTATTCAGTCTTCCTGATGCCAGTCCTTTTCTGTAACTAGAGCAGGGTGGCTCTATTTCCTTTCAATATTCACACCTCCCATCCTGTTCTTCATTATATTATACAGGATTTATATAGCGCCAACAGTTTGCTCAGCGCTTTACAATTCTTGGAAGACAACATCTGCCTTTCCATGGTCATTGGATTGAGATGTTGGTGCTGTGGATCCAAATCCTGGAGTATCTTCATTGGAACTGAAGAAGGTGTTTGGAAACGTTCCGAAATGTCTTCAGCATTCTAGAACAAGTTCAGTTGGGTGTGACTGACTAGTACTTAATATACCATGACCTGGAATAATGAGAACCTTCAATGGACACATGCTTACTTGTTTCCTGTCTACTGCAGGGATCTCTAGCACTATTCTCTGCAGCAACTGGGGCACCATAGTTATTGAGCAAAATTGTTAAATGAGGTTACCTTTTACCTCTGGCAGAAAGACTATTATTTATTTTATTTATTTCAGGTAATTATATAGCGCCGTCAATTTACACAGTGCTTTACATATATATTGTACATTCACATCAGTCCCTAACCCTCAAGGGGTGTACAATCTAAGGTCCCTAACTCACATTCATACATACACATACTAGGGACAATTTAGACAGGAGCCAATTAACCTCCCAGCATGTCTTTGGAGTGTGGGAGGAAACCGGAGTACCCGGAGGAAACCCACGCAGGTGGGTTAACCTACCAGCATGTCTTTTGGAGTGTGGGAGGAAACCGGAGTACCCGGAGGAAACCCACGCAGGCAGAGGGAGAACATGCAAACTCCAGACAGGTGGTGCCGTGGCTGCGATTCGAATCAATGAGTCTGTCAGAATTTATATGATCAAAATGATCAGTCTGCTGCCCCATGGGGAATCCTGATATATCTACATTCTGGCACTTTCCTGGATTGAGGCCCACCAATGTGCAATAATATCAGGAAGGACAGTAAAAACATCCCAAAACAGAAAGATCGCCAAAATTGGACCACCTTTTTTTGTACAAACATGCCTACTCAGAAGGCTGTATAAGTAGAAGGTTGGTGTGAAATGCATCCATGTGCTGCTGAAATAAATGTTGTGTAATGGTTTATAGAAATACACAGTCACTGCGTTCTGGAGATCCTTTGGTTTTTGACCATTTTTGCCTTGTATCCTGGTAAAAACAATGAGCCAGTCAGCCAGGGTTCAGTCCGCCTTTTGCAAAATAGTAATAAATGCAGCAACAATGATCTTATGATACTTTTTTGTATAGAGGCCTTTAAAGCATTGCACCTGTGATCACTGCAGTGTTGGTTCAGTGTGTGAGCTTTTACAGTGTTTACCCCCAGCCCCAGGTCTGTATGGAGGTACTACCCTTCTGTTCTGGGGATGAAGGGAGTGGGGCCAGACTATTGCGGTTGTGTCACCTCCCTGCTGCTGGTTTTGTGCTGAGTCCCTCTGCCTCAGTGGCAGAAGAGACTTGTAGTTCTGCTGGTTATCAGTGTTTGATACGGCTGTGCAAGCAGAGCCACAGACTACCATGCTAAAATTTAACAAAATAGGATTATCCACTATGATGCACCCCGTGATTTAGGAAGGTGATGGGGGGGGGAGGGGGGTGGGTGTTGGTGGTGTGGAGTTTGGCTGTGCTGTTTACAGTCATGCTTTATGTAACACCGTAAATATGGGTGCAGCACGAAATATGGTCTTAAAGGTGGAATATTGAGATCCCCCTCAAATTCCTTTTCTGTCTGACACCTGTTTAAAAAGACAACAGTTAAAGTGATATCTAAAGTTAACACTTAAAAAAAAAAGTTATGGTTTTGCATAGAACAGCCTCGATCTTTGTCTTCTCGGGTCCCACTCTGGCACTCCTGGCTCCTCCCTTTTAGGAAGTGCCCCCATAGGAAGCCGCTTTCTATGGGGGCACTCCTGTGGGCTCGCTTCCAAACCTGCTGCCTGTGTCCATAGACAGAGACAGCAAGACTTGGGGGGCCCCCCCCCCCTTGTTATAGGATCTGTTTGACAGCAGTAGGAACCAATGGCTCTCACTGCTATTAATCTCCCCTGTGAGGAGGGAGAAAAAGGAGAAAGGCGCTGCTCTTGTGCAAACCTCTGGATCAAGATCAGGCTCAGGTAAGTAAGGGGGGAGGGGGTTGGGGTTCTTAGGGAAGCTGGATACAGAAGTTTTTTTTACCTTCATGCATACAAAGCATGAAGGTAAAAAAACTTATGCATGAAGGTTAAAAACAAAAAACTTCAGCCTTTAAAGCCACTTTAAGTGGAAATCCCTCAAAAGGAACGAAGACCACAATGAAAAGTCAACATAGGTTTTAAAGTGGTTGTAAAGGCTCAAGGTAAACCTTCTGTTTGCAGCAGCCCCCTCACTACTTACCTGAGCCCCCTTGAGATCCAGCGATGTGCATGACAGCCCTGGCTGTCCCAGGTCTCTGCCTCCTGATTAGCTGAGATGGCAAGCGGGAGCCATTGGCTCCTGCTACTGTCAATCACAGCCAATGAGAAAGGGGGGGGGGCCCAAACAGCGGCTCCATGTGTGAGTGGACACAAGGAGCAGCGGGTGCCCCTATAGCAAGCTGCTTGCTATGGGGTCACACAACAGAAAGGAGGAGCCAGGAGAGCCTGCAGGGGACCCGAGAAGAGGAGGATCAGGGCTGCTCTGTGCAAAACCACTACACAAAGCAGGGAAATATGACATGTTTGTTATTTTACAAATAAAAAAAAAAAAAAAAAACAAGCCTTAAAAGTTTGACTTGAGTCAGTAATTAAAAGAGAAGCATGGCCAAAGCTCTTTTGGCCATACTTCTCTTGTGGGTCCCAAGAGCGCATGCACTTACCTGTGCTCTCCTGAGATGCAAAATCAGCCATAGCAGGCTAAAGTCCACTTCCGGTTCACGTCACAGGAACTGCTTCAGTCTCTGGATGTATTCAGACAATAAATTCGGGATCCACCTAGATTCCTGATCTGCAGCTGTCTTGGTCACTCAGTGCACAACTGAGTGCCTGAGCCCTCCGCTCCCGCTTCCTCTCTTTCCTGCCCGGCTCTCCGGTGAGCACTAGAGGGGCATAGCAGGGTGGTGACTGACAGTCACTTCTCTCTGCTCAGAGCTGACTAAACACAGCGATCAGCAGTCACGTGAATTTTCAGTTCTCGGGCTTAGAGCCAGTGTTGTGTAGGTGAGTAGGTGTATGTTTGTTTTTTTTTTTTTCCCTCTTTCTGTTTCCTACACTTCTCCTTTTAATGTAAAATGATTTAGATCTTCTGCCAACTATGTAGTTTGAGGGCCTGTCTGAATGGATACAAATTAAATGGATTGTGTAGACACATTCTCACATTGCTTAGTTCCACTAAATCTAAAGCTCACCACTTGTTACAATCGCCTTTAGATTTACCTCATATTACATCATTTTGGTAAATCTGAATTTTGATTTTACAAACACATTTTACTTGTCTTTGACTGCTCTGTGTATACAATCTACTGCGTAGTGACATAGTGTGGATAACATTCACCCTCCATAAAGAGATACTGTATTTCACTGTTGAAGAATGAGGCTGTACTTTCCTCCCTTGCACTTTCCAAAACACAATTAGATATGGAACACTTTGATTTCTAGGTCATGGCAAACCTCTCTTCATTTCTCTTTCAGGCTGGTCTACTTTGGCGGCTATGGCTACTTTAGAGAAGATACAGTCGGGACTTTTGAGTTTGATGAAACTTCATTTGGCGTATGTATTCTGTAGACGGTATTGTGTAAATAAATTGCAGTGACGTTTCACAATGGTGTAAAGATTAATAACAAACCGAGACCATTCTTGATGTTAGGGATTCCTTTTTCAGATGTTTGCTTAAAGTGGAACTTTATTTTGATAAAAACAAAACATGGGGTAACGTGCAGGATTTTTAATGCAGAAGAGATGTGCTCTGTTTCTTCTGCATTAAAGTTACTTACCTGGACTCCCCTCTGGACCTATTGTGGAGGGTGAACATGATCAAAAGGATCTTTCTACCTAAATTGCTTTAAATCCTGGCTAACTGCCCTTGCAGAGTACCCATGTCATTGTTCAAACAGATTGATGCTATAATTCACATCTAGAGTAGTCTGAAGTTTCTTTAGGTTGCCAACCTCGAAAGCGGGTCTGGCCTTTCCACATTTCTATGCTTATTGAAATAAATAATAAAGGGGTTGGTTTTCTGGAATCCCCCTATTTATTATACAACTATGTACTATTTGTCTGTTCCTATAATTAATTAGTAAATATATCTAAGCTTTGATAACATTGAAGGACGTAATTTACTGCAATATTTGCTATAATAACACAAACACAATGCTCAAAGAAGCAAGGTCTTATTTATTTTTAAAGAAAGTAAAACCCTAACGGAGAAATCTAAACCAATATTAGAGTATATAGAAATAGTAAAGATGATACGTTACGTAAGTTCGTCCTCAAAGCTAAGTATCTTTAGCTGGTCCCACGTTAGAGAGAGAAAAAAAGACAGAAGTATGGCCAACACTATATTTAAAGCCCTCTCGAGCACTACCCACACACACACACCCTTGACCCGCCTGGTGTAGTTCTCCATCCAATGAGCAAATGTTCATAACTCATAAGGGGATGTCCTCCCTATTCATTAGAAGGTGTAATTACCCCAGCCATCCTCCCGGAAGTAGGTCCTCTCAAAAGGGGGCACTGCTGTATTGCCAACAACGCTCGGACCCAGATCAATCACTTCTGGCTAGAAGCCATGTAATCTGTCCTTTTATTATGCATGACATCAGGGAGCCTGGGTTTTGGCTCTCTTATCTCCATGTCCCACCGCTAGGGGGTATGTGTGAACTTCCAGAACAATGATTTTGGTATGCAGCCGTTTGTTACACACATCCTGTTGCAAATACTTGCTTTTCTTGACACTCCAAGATAGCATTCAATAGGTCAAATAGTTCTCTGACAACAAGGCAGTAAGAGTCCATAAATGTCTGATATAGAAACATGTTGCCTTCCAACACTTATTATCTGGCCTTCCAACTCATGAATGTGCATGACTGGCTTACTGCTACCAATGCCTGTAAAACCATTGAGGCTGCCATAGCTTCCTTCTTTGTGACATTACATAATATTGTTTACAGGCGGCAGGTCCTTCCCCTTCATGGTACAGCTTTGTTGAATGCCACTCTTTTCCATACTCCTCCGTATTCAGAAACGTTTTATGCCTGCACAATGGTCTACCTCACCTAACTTTCCCCTGTGGTGGAATCCTTCCCTACCAGAACTAAATACTATCCCCGATGCACAGCTGTGGTCCTCCAAAGGTATTAAATATTTATGTCGCATATATACCCCACTGGGTTTCAAGTCCTTCGATCAGTTATGTGAAGAATTTGAACTCCCGGCTAATTTTTGATTTTTTTTGCTACCAGCTCCAGCATACCATTAGAGCTCAGTTTGGCTCCTTCTCCAGCCCCTTGGAAGTCACTCCTCTTTGAAAAGCTACTGTGAAGATCTGACACCACTGGATTGATATCCTTTCATTATTCTGTTCTTTCTAGTGGCACTAATAATAGATATTCAGTGTCCAAACATAAATAGCTGTTGCTCGACCTACATATTACAGACCCAGAATGGTCGGCGTTTGAAAGGACATATGAATCCACCTTCATCTCCTCTAAGGATAGGGTTACCCAACTGTTCCACCACAGTCACTTTACCCCGCTACATCTACATGAAATGGGCATGCGCCAAGACACCTCCTGCTTCAGGGGTTGCAGAGAAGTGGCAGACTTCCTCCACTGCCTTGGACCTGCCCAGTTGTTCCGAGCTTTTGGTCAGAGGTCAACACCTTCATCTCTTCCACCCTGGGCCTGCCTAATTTTTTCAACCCTAAAAACTATCTCTTTTGGTATTTTGTTGGAAACCTATCTCCAAATATGAAAAGCACTTACTGCAAATATTCTATTTTTATGCTAACAAGACTATCCTACTTAGGTATCACTGCCCCCAATATACCCATGTGGCTACAGTTCATTAACAATAGCCTCCCACTAAACTCACCTATCAGCTTCGAAAGAAGCCCCGTTTGGTTGATGCTGTTTGGGACCGCTTACTTTTGCCTCTGTTGTTCCAGACCGTTTTACTAGATGTATCTCCATGCTTTGTATTATGACCTACTGTTTGACCCGCAATATTTGGTGTGTCGTCTGTGTCACTATTCTGGTTTTGTAAAGCATTGGGAAACAGCTCATGGTCTTTTCTCTGCATTAGCTAGATATTGTATATATATTTTTAACTCTGTATTGTATTTTTTTCTGTAAAAATCAATAACTATCTTTAAAAAAAAAAAAAAAAAAAAAAAAAAGTTACTTACTAAAAAAAAAAAAAAAAAAAAAAAAAAAAAAAAAAAAAAAAAAAAAAAAAAAACAAAAAAAAAAAAAAAAAAAAACAAAAAAAAAAAAAAAAAAAAAACAAAAAAAAAAAAAAAAAAAAAAAAAAAAACAAAAAAAAAAAAAAAAAAAAAAAAAAGAAACAAAAAAAAAAAAAAAAAAAAAAAAAAAAAAAAAAAAAAAAAAAAAAAAAAAAAAAAAAAAAAAAAAAAAAAAAAAAAAAAAAAAAAAAAAAAAAAAAAAAAAAAAAAAACCTGCCTGTTTGCCCCTGTACAGTGAGCTGCACGCACTCAGCTCATTGTACAAATTCTGCAATGCCAAGATGACTGGACTTCTGCGCATGTGGCGGAGTGACATCATCTCAGGCTGGGCACTGAATGTTGCTGATGATTGATACCCAGAAGTAGGCAGCTCAAAGATGTCAGCAACTGGCAGGGAGCTCCGGGACCCCGCATCACTGGAGCAAAGTATAGCTCTGCTTTAATGTTAATTGTATGCTTTTAACACAGCTTACAGAGGCAAGACCTAACAGATATTTATTTATTTTTTTAATAAAATGATAAATTTTAGAAGTAAATCGCCATCTGATTGTGCTCTTGTTCTGTTTTTGCAGAATGCAGGACATCCAAGGGGCTGGAACAATCATGTTCATCAGTTGAATCTAGACAGCTTTACCTGGAGTCGCATTGTACCTACGGTAATAATTCTGTCATTACCTAGTGTGTGTTTTTTTTTTTTTTTTTTTTTTTTTTTAACACTTAAACATTTACTCTCCACTGCAAAGGATTTTTTCTTTTTTAAACCTGGAGTTCAGCTTTAATACCTCATTCACACAGGCGCATTTAGAGTGGTTGTAAACTTTTACATACACCCAGTGAAGTGACTGACCTCAGGTGATAAATAGAGATGAGGCAAATCCTCCTACATAAGTTGTACCTGTTTACCTGTAACCCTTTCTCCTCTCATGCCATTCACAGTCCAGAATTCAGTTTACATGTGCTTCCAGGGAGCTGAAGTTACACTCTGCAGAGGTCAGTGAGAGCCTCATTGGGGAAAAGGACACACTTCCCTGCACAGAGGAACAGAGCGGAGGCTGTCAATCACATGCTGTGTGCTGGAGCTCCCTGCCCTGTCACCTTTTTACCTCTTGGTGTCAGCAAAACTTCCCATAAGTGACTTATGCAGATAGCAGAAGAACGAGGCAACAGAAATTACATTCAGTGCTCTGGATTGAGTGAAGTACACACTATAGAGAGATATGCTTTTTCATATTTCATGTCTAAGGTTTGAAACCACTTTAAGCGTATGCCTGTGCAAAGGCTGTGTTTGCCGGCACAGGTGTTTTGTGCATCCCCATGCAGGCAGTCCCATTCATGTCAATGGGGACCCTGGCTGCATGGACAGTCACTGCTCCCAGTTTGATCTGTGTGGGTGCACGTCCCTGCATTGCATTCCCACTATAGGTGGGTGTGGGTGTCTGTGTTTGCTGGCCTGAACCCACACAAATGTCAAAATGGGAGCAGCTGCTATCTCCATGCAGCCACTGGGGGCAGGAGATAAAAGCAGTGATTGCTAGTCATTCTAGGCCTGCATAGAAAGTCTTCAATCACTGTAAAGTTGTTGAATCTGAAGGCTAATCAATAATGTTTTATCGCCTCCAATGGAGAACAGTTCTGGTCTGAACACTCCCCTGTTCGGTTCGCAGTCTAACATTCGAACCTAAAGAAAGTTCTACCTTGAACATAATACAAGTCTATGGGACTCTAACTTGTAAATTCAAAAATGCCCATTTTGAAGGCATATATGCAAGTTATTGGCCATAAAAGAGGTACGGGGACTGAGGGACATGTGTCAGTGAAAAAAAAAATTCAAAAAGTACTGTTTTTTTAAAGGGGCAGTCAGGGGGGCTTCGGCTAAGGGGGTCCTCTAAGACTACCTGCAAAGTTGCAGATCTGTACAATGTACAGAAAGTAGCAGGAATTACATTTTTTTTTTTAAATATTTTTTACTGTGGGGTCCCTTCTAAACTTCCTACCATTCTGGTATAGATAAGGGGGGACCCCACTCTTTTTTTTTTTATAAAAAAAAAAATAAAATGTGGGATCCACCCCCCTTTATTTATACCAGACCCTTTAGGTCTGGTAGGAAGCTTAGGAGGGACCCCACATTAAAAAATGTTTTTAAAAAAGTGCATGAGTTTCCCCCTAAAAGCCATACTAGGTCCTTTTTAGACCTATACGACTTTTAAGAGGAACCCCACCCCCAAAAAATGGGGGGGAGGGGGGGAAAGTGTGGGGTCCTCCCTAAATTCTTACCAGACCCTTGATCCGAGCACAGGCCTGGCATACCATGACAGGGGGGGGAAACAAGCACTCCCCAGCTCCCTGGGCCTTACCAGGCCACGTGCCCTTGGCATAGGGACAATGTCCCCATGCCGATGAAGACATGAGCCTCTTCCCCACAACCCTGGCCTGGCCTTTAACAAGGGGGCCCACATATCCCGCCCCCCCCCATGTGAATGAGTATGGGGTACATTGTACTGCTACCCATTCACAAAAAAAGTGTAGTGTAAAAAATGACAGGAGACCGTCTTTGACAAGTCCCCAGAAGTAGATCCAATGTCAATCACGATGCCCCACCGCCACCGTCGACCCAAAAAAAAATTCTGCTCAACGCTGGCTCCCACTGTCTGAAAGCTTAGATGGGATGACAGATCTTAAATAGGGTAATGCTGTCACAAGGAGGCAGGATCACCCCCATGTCATCATGCTCTGTGATTGGCCAAAGTGTAGCTCCTGACCTGTGGTCAGTTGCTATTCTTTGGCCAATTACAATGCACAGTCAGGGCGCAGTGCATTGTGGGGCCGAACGGCCATGCCATTCTTGTGTTCGCAGAACACGCGAACGGCCCATGTTCGAGACAAACTAACGTTCAACTTGAATGAAAAAAAAAAAAAAAAAAAAAAATAATATATATATATATATATATATATATATATATATTGCCCAACTCCAGGCAAATGAAATAGTTTTCTCTTGCTGTGGATCTGTGCCCACATTGCATGGGTTAACTGCCCGTTTTTGTTTAGGTGAGTGGAGACCCCCCTGGACATAAGAAGCAGTTGACCCTTGCAGTACAGGCACAGCTCCTCTGCATGGGGAAACTTTTATTTATTTTTTTTGCCTGGAGTTGGGCTTTAAGGTTAGGACTTTACCTTCATAGCGTAAATCTTTTCACACTTTTTTGTTTGGAACTATAAGTAACCTTCCTTATCGAGCCATAAATTGTTTCCTCCTTGAAGCCCCAATTTTATATTGTCAAATAGCTCACCACATACATTACAACCTGACTATACTATAGATGTACTAACAACTATGTAGTGTAAGGGAAAACGGGAAGTAAAGCCATCGATGTAATGGTTTATGCAGGTAATGCTGACTTTCTTTGCAGGGTAAATGCCCCTCTCCTCGTGCAGCTCATGCTTGTGCCACAGTTGGAAATCGAGGTTATGCTTTTGGCGGCAGATACAGAGTGAGTATCCGTGACATTTTATTACTTGTGTATGCATCTCCTGGTATGATGTATTTTTATTAAATCAAAATTTTACTCTCTAGGACTCCAGAATGAATGATCTGTACTATCTAAATTTTGATACCTGGGAGTGGCATGAAGTGTAAGTGATTTGCTTTTGCTTTTTGTTTTTTTTTTTACAATTGCCCTGCACTGAGGGCTCTACTATTCAAATTGCTATTGCTGAGTTAGAAATTATTGAAGTTTAAATGCTTCCTATCACAGTGCTCACTCTTCTGATGTACGTATTTCTTTAGAACGTGTGTTCAAATTCCCGCCGATCCTGCTTCAAGTTCATTTCCATGTAGCTGGTTACCACGCTAACCATGGGGTCTGACTCCTGTGGCAGCATTGTCAGATTGCTGTACATGCTCCGGCAGTCTACAACAGGACAGCGTGATGACGCATGGTGTTTGTGTAGTCCGCAATAGATAGGGACCTGGCAATTGCAGCCCCCATGTGTCGCTAGGGAAGGATTTGTTTGATAGCTGAGCTCCAAGTAAACATCGAAATACACCGATCAGCCATAATATTATGACCACCCACCTAGTATTGAGTAGGTCCCTCTTTTACCGCCACAACAGCCCTGATTCGTCAAGGCATGGACTCCATTAGACCACTGGAGGTATGCTGTGGTATGTGCCTCTGCTGGCTTGTCTTCTTCAACATGGGCACCCTGACCAGTCTGCAGATTCAGCGCTATACACAACAAATTTCCGTGCACTGTGTTCTGACACCTTTCTATCAGAACCAGCACTAGTGGATGTAAAGGCTCAAGGTTTTTTACCTTCATGAATTCTGTGCATCTTTGAGCCCGATCACGATCGAGGAATGTGCATGAGCGCTTCCGGGAAACTCCCTCCTCATTGGCTGAGACAACTGCTGTTAGGCCAGTGAGCCTATGATGAGAGAGAGAGGGTAGGGCCAACCATGGCTCTGTTTGTAAACGGACACAAGTCAGTGGCTCGGGAGCTAAAAGTAATCCAAAATCCTCCTGAGCTACAAATGGCAAACAACTAACATAAAGCTGCCAACACTCACCTACTAATACCTAGTGCAGTGTGAACCCCATAAATAAATAAATAGTGTGGCGCTCAAAATAAATAAATAAATACATATAAATACAAATAAGTGACCAATTCATATAATAAGTCTTAAACAAACCCCGCAATTAGCATCAACTAAAATAGATTATATGATAATATATAATGGTGTATCAAAAATAAAACTCAAGTGATCACACTTTAAGTAAATCAAGTGTCTCAAAAAAATATTGTGCTAAAAATGACAAAATGGTGACCAAATAGTGTAACAACCTATGTATAGATCAAAAGTGCTAAAGTGCCAAAATTAGTGCAGAAAAATATATGTCCAATCCTTCTACAAATCAATGTAGACAATGTCCATCAAGTGATAAATAAATTCATGCAATATATAGTGATAATCAATTGGTGATTTGTGCCAAAATCTTCTCCAAACAGTGGCTAAATTTCCTCCTCACCTCCTCCCTGCGACCCCTAAGGGCCAACAGGCTTGCAGGATCAACCTGGATCCTAAAATCAAATGGGCCAGCAACTTTCCTCCTTCATTGGATTTCTTTATGGGCCTCCTATTTCCCTTATTCAGCCAAGGTGCCTCTGAAGAACAGTGGCTCACCAATCCAGTGAGCCAAGAAAGAAAACACCCTCTAAGTGTAGTATTATATGACTCCTTTATTGAAAGATATGAAGTAGCATAACTCACATTCCTTAGCAGTCCTCCTTACCGATGTGCGGGGTTTGTTTAAGACTTATTATATGAATTGGTCACTTATTTGTATTTATTTATTTTGAGCACCACACTATTTATTTATTAGTGGCTCGGGAGCTGCTTGCTGTGGGGGCATGGAGGCATTGGCAGGAGGGAGTAGCCAGGGGCACAATGGGGAACCCGAGATGAGGAAGATTGGGGCTGCTCTGTGCAAAACCACTGCACAGAGCAGGCAAGAATGACATACTGCTTGTTGAGTGTTTATTTATTTGTTAAATATTGTCTTTTGATATCACTAACTTTTTCACCAATTTGAGCTACAGTAGCTCCTCTATTGGATTGGACTACACAGACCAGCCTTCGCTCCCCACATGCAACAATGAGCCTTGGCTGCCCATGTCCCTGTTGCTGGTTCTCTGGTCTTCCTTCCTTGGACCACTTTTGCTCGGTCCTGACCACTGCAGAACGAGAACATCCACAAGAGATGCAGGTTTGGAGTTGCTCTGACCCAGTCGTCTAGCTTTTACAATTTGGCCCTTGTCAGAAGTCACTCAAATCCGTACGTTTGTCCTTTTTTTTTTTTCCTGCTTTCAGCATATCAACTTTAGGGACATGTTTACTTGCTACCTAATGTACACTATATTGCCAAAAGTATTGGTCGGCCTGCCTTTACACGCACATGAACTTTAATGGCATCCCAGTCTTAGTCCGTAGGGTTCAATATTGAGTTGGCCCACCCTTTGCAGCTATAACCGCTTCAACTCTTCTGGGAAGGCTGTCCACAAGGTTTAGGAGGGTGTCTATGGGAAGGTTTGACCATTCTTCCAGAAGCGCATTTGTGAGGTCAGGCACTGATGTCGGGGGAGGAGGCCTGGCTCGCAGTCTCCTCTCTAATTCATCCCAAAGGTGTTCTGTTGGGTTGAAGTCAGGACTCCGTACAGGCCAGTCAAGTTCCTCCATGTCTTTATGGACCTTGTGCATCTGGTTACCTGCAGAAGAAATAATGATACAAGGAGGCAAAATCCAGCATCCAAGAGAGAGATATGTTCCTCATATATAGTTTGAAATGGCCTCTCACTTCTAGTGTAGAACGTGAATTAAAATCCACCGCTGTCTTGGTACATGTGCTGCCAGGGATCACCGGATGCACTTTTCCCACTCCTGTGTTGGGTGGAGGTGTAGTTTGATACAACTGGTTTGAATGTTACCCACCTTTTCATTTGACCCATAGTTGATGATGGAGTTTATCTATGGAGTGGCTCTAGAGAATTGGGGATATTGTGCCCATCTTTGCCTGTCAGTGGTCTCTGTTGTACGCCTCCTCACAGCCTAGATGGAAGTGACTACATTCTGGTATATCGTCTTTTTTTTTGCTTTACGATGTTATGAATGGATCACATTGAGTTTAACAATCTGAAGAAGCAGTTACCACAAAACGCGTAATTATCATAAACAAGTGTAACTATACTGTGATCAGTTTATTCTTTTTATGAAATTAACTTTTATATATATATATATATATATTTTCCTTGAATACCCCTTTTTTTGTGTTTTTCTCAACTTTGACTTCTGGGGTGGTGACCCCCCATATAAGTATATATGCCACATCTCACTGCTGTATGTACAGCCTCACCTCCTTTCTGTCCCATACTTCATCAAAGTTATTAAGGGGCCTGGGAAACTTCAGTTACGAGGAAAGGCTACAAACGTTAAACCTACTCTCCCTGGAGAAGAGACGCTTGAGAGGAGATATGATAGGATATACAAATACCTCAATGGTGATTCTACCATAAGGAATAAATTATTCTGTCTCGGTGAATATAAGAAGACACACGGCCCCTCCATGAAATTGGAGAAGCAGTTTAGCCTCAAACTGTGTAGGGAGTTTTTCGCTGTCAGGGCGGTAAGGATGTGGAACTCATTTCCCACAATGGTGTTAGCGGGAAGTGTTGATATTTTCAAAAACTCTTTGATGATCATCTTGGTGAACAAAACATACAGGGATGTAGGATATGAGTCTTAGACATGAGCACACCCACACAGGTTGAACTGGACGAACTATTGTCTTTATTCAGCCTTACCAACTATGTAAGCAGGGGCGGACTGACCATTTGGAAACTCAGGCACTGCCCAAGGGTCTGGGGTCAGTAGGGGGCCCCATGAGATGCCCCTGGTACCTTTTTTTTTTCATTAGCTTTTTAGAGTTTGGTCAAGGACACAGGGGCCCTCTGATCCCCTATTGCCCGGGGGCCCCATGAGTTGTCAGTCCGCCCCTGTATGTAAGTGATAATTTTTCCCACACAGAATAGAAGCAGCCATTATGTAAGATTACAGCAAATATATCCGCTACGATTCAATGTCTGCTGTTCCTTTACCTAGTTCTTTGATCCTTCATTGACTGCCTCTGTGTCCTTGTCATAGGATTCCACAAGGTGTTATCCCAGTGGGAAGGTCTTGGCATTCGTTGACACAAGCATCATCTCATACCCTTTTTCTTTTTGGAGGATTTACCACCGATAAACAACCTCTGAGTAAGTGAACTGACCTTTCTACCCATACAAATGTAACCATTGGGTGCAATGACAATCTTTAGACACCCTTTGTAGCCAGTCACACAAGAGGCTGATCTGTGTTAGACCTTTGTGAACACATCCAAGAACTACAGCCACCAGGAATCACATGACACTGCCATCTCAGTCCAGGAAGCATATACTGACCCTGGATCATGCCTGAACAAAGATGGATCCATCATTCTGGAGAGAAAAGCAGATGAAGGCATTGTCATGGAGAGTACTCTGATCTCTGTAGAAGGTAGTAAATTCCTGGAAGTGTTACAATGACACATTACATAGCATGAGTAACTATATCTGATCAAGGTCCAGTTCAAGTAGTGAAGTGAGGATTAAGATGAGAGTCCAAGAGGCTTCACATATTAAAGCTGAACTCTGGCCTTTAGTCTTGCACAGTTGTACAGGCTCCTGTTCTGTAATGAAATGACTTACTCTGATTTCACTGCACGCTGTGAGCGGCTCATTACAAGCTGTAGAAAGTCAGAGCCCATCTCAATTCCTGGACAGAGGACATCCAGGATCATCTAACTCTTTCCTCCCTACTTTGGCTGTCCGTAGCACACCTGTTTCATTAAAGCGGAGTTGCAGTCAGTTTTGTGTTTATTAAAAGTTAACAGCTACAAAAACTGTAAAAAAACAAAAACTGTAGCTGCTGACTTTTAATACACTCACTTACCTGTCCCAGGGCCCAGCGATGTTCTCACCCGTGCCGTCCCTTCTTTCCTCGGCGCCAGCATCACAACTGTGGGCACCAGGCTGTGACAGCTTGCGGCTTCACAGCCGGGTGCCTGCTGCGCATTCTGATTAGGACAGCAGTCTTCTGGGATCTGTGAAAATTTCCAGGAGACTGCGGGAAGAAGGAGGGGGCAGAAATTCCGGCTCAGTTTACCGCGGCAAAGTGGACCAGAAATATCCACTCCCCCCCCCCCCCCCCCCCCCCCCAAAGGTTCTAAATATGGCAATGGAGGGGGGGGGAGCCAAACAAGCAGAGCTTCCATGTTTGAGTGGAACTCTGCTTTAATTAGATTTCTGTTCAGTCATGGAGGCTCAGCATCACATGTGGATGTTGCATGCAGATACAGCCTGCATAGGAATGCCCACCCATCCAGGTCTATTAGTATTATTATTTTTTTATTATACAGTATTTATATAGCGCCAACAATTTGGTCAGCGCTGTACATTATAATGGGGGACAGTACAGTAACAATACAATGCGATACACGAGGGGTTCGAGGGCCCTGCTCCTTGGAGCTTACTATCTAGGAGGGAGGGGATAGTGGTACTGGAGGAAATATCTGTGGGGCATGGAGTGGTAGGAAGAGTGGAGGAGTTCAGTAATTAGCTGAGGGTGGGGTAGGCTTCCCTGAAGAGAGAGGTTTTCTGAGTGTGCCTAAAGGTGAGGAGGGTAGGTGACAGTCTGATTGATTGGGGTAGGGAGTTCCAGAGAATGGGGGAAGCCCTAGAGAAGGGCATGGGAGGAGGAGACCAGGGAACTAGAGAGTAGGAGTGTACGGTTTGGGTGGTATTTGGATACCAGATCGGTGATGTAGTTTTGGGGCAGTATTATGAACAGCTTTGTACGTCAATGTTAGTATTTTGAATTTTATTCTTTGGGCAATCGGAAGCCAGTGAAGGGATTGGCAGAGGGGGGGGGGCGGATACGGAGCGGTTAGTAAGGTAGATGAGTCTGGCCGCAGCATTCAAGATTGACTGAAGATGGGATAGCCTGCGGTGAGGTAAGCCGATGAGGAGGGAGTTACAGTAGTCAAGTTGTGATATAATAAGGGAGTGAATGAGTTGCTTAGTGGTTTTGGGGTTAGGAACGGACGTATTAGTATTTACATAACTCCTCCCAAGAGCCACTCCACTGCTTGCCTTGGGTCTGAGGGTCTTTAGAAGAATACTGAGGCTGGGTACAGTGATATTTTCAGGTAGCTATGTACAGCACCCTGCTGGCTCCTCCCACCAGGCATGATCTGCCTGCATTGCATAGAGAAACTCAGAGCTTATGTCAAACAAAGCATGTTATGGAAAATTGACAGATTTTATTAAAAATGCAAAAAGGGAAGCAAAATATAAGCAGATTATACTTCAGTTTTAACTTTCATAGTAATGTGTAGGGAACAGAATTGCTTCTTTACATTGTACAAATGGTTAATACAGAGGAGTAGCAGGGGCCTCAGACTTAATGATTCCTGGAGGTCATTACCCCATCCATGTTGTTACACCTTAAGCTGGCCACAGATGGAACTATTTTCTTTCCTGCAACCATGGGTTAATAAAATCGCATGATTCGCCCATCAACAGTCACAGGCCAGTTGTACCCAAGTTGATCGATCAATCAACTTGGGTACATTCAGCCTGCCCATACATGGTTCGAATCTCACCTGGTCTCTGCTGAACCGGCTGAAACTTGAACAGTCTATGGCTGGCTTTAGGCAACTTTCACACTGATCTGTTGCAAAAACGTGTTTTTTTTTTTTTTTCTGGAAAAAAAATTTGCAACAAAAATGAAGCAAGCAAGACTGAGCCATTGCAGGTCAAGTGCATTTTTCAGTGTGAGGAATACATGGTCACATTGGTTTTCTGCTTTTTTTTATACTGTAAAAGCAGAAGAAAAACGGATGAGTGTGAAAGCAGCTTTAGTGTGTTTCTGGTCCATGTAATTCTGATATTTGTGATCTGTTCTCAGGTGACACGTGGCTGTACAATCTCAGGACTAATGAGTGGATTCCTTTCCAGAGCTGCCACAGTGATAAACCCAGGTAACACATATGACAACATCATCTCCTCCCTTCATGGTCTTCTAATCCATGCACGGGACATCTCTTGTTTGTGCAGATAAACACAAAATACATTCCAAGAAGCAAATATAACCTTTGCTGGCTGTGGTCAGAGCTGTAAAACTTTAGTTCCACCTGCAGCAATCGCTGTGGAAGTCATCTTGGCTATAGGTCAGGATGAAAGATGTTTGTATAATTTGCCAGAGCCTTACCACTCGGAACTAGGTAGTGAGGCTCCGGAAAAATTTTCATCTACCTTTCAGCCTGGTCTGTATACAGAAAAGGCAGCACATTTCCTAAAATAGACAGCAGCTACAATGCACTCATACATGTGCTGCCTTTCTGTATTTTGCTTCCCAAAGTGCTGACTTCTTGGTATGTAGCCACATGAAGCGGCCTGTCTCTTTAACATAGGGAACATATGAGGTCATATGAATGTGTCATGTCCCTTGAATGCATGGCCATCATGCTCTCCTCCATACTAGCAATAGAAATGTGACAATGCACACCATTCATGTGTGATTCAAAAGTAACAATATACAACTCAGTGTTTGTAATTTTTCCATTTCTAGGCTGTGGCATACTGCTTGTGCCAGTAAAGAGGGTGAAATATTTTGTCTTTGGGGGATGTGCCAACAATCTGCTCGCCCACCACAAAGCGGTAAAATATCACATAAGGTAGTGCTGAAGCAGCCTTTACATTAGTGGAATGATTGGGGAACCTGAAGTTTTTCTCTGCTTTCTTGATACAGGCCCATAGTAATGAAGTGCTTGTGTTTTCAGTTCAGCCACGGTCTCTTGTAAGGTGAGTTATGCAATGTTTTGGGACACAATATTTTAAAATTATTCTTTAATACACTATGGGAGTTATTAAAACTGCACGTTGCAAAATATGGTGCGTTACTAAACTCAGGACCCTGCATTCCCTATATCTGGACTCCCACAGTACACACAACATGGAAATGCAATTATTTTAGTAAATATTTTCTCATCAGCAATTTAGAGCAGTCTTGTGACTTCTATCAGTGTTCAGCTCAGCACTAACTAAAGCTTGTAGGAGGAGGTTTTTCTGCTCTAGGAGGATGCAGGACCCCTGACCTCTAGACAGTGTTGATTGGCCCTGTGCTCATCACATGCACTCTCCCAAGAAAAAAAAAAGGCACATTGACACTGTCTGTAGATAGCCCTGTATTTACCAACACAGATCTCTCTTCTGTCAATCAATCAGCAGGTCCTGGCCATATCTCACTGGCCAGGACAAACTGATTGGCATTTGCTGCAGCGAATAGCAACACAGCTGGGACAGCGGGTGTGTACACATGCCCCCTAGCTGGAAGAGCTGCAGTGGGGCCACTCTTTGCAGCAGTATATCTTTGATAGGTAGCCGCTAACTGGTTAACAACATGAACAAATGTTTGTGGACACCTGACCACTGCTCTACCACATGAGCTTGTTGGTCATTCCATCCAAACCCATTGGTGTCAAAAACATGCCCTTATGGTGCTGGCTTTGTGCGTTGGGCACATCTATCCTGGAACAGAAAAAGGGGCCTCCGACTGTACCCACAAAGTTGGAATCAAATGCTTTAGAACCTGTAGCGGTAACAGTCTCAGTCAATGGAAACATCCGATGTCAGTAATATAGAGGGGGGGTGTCTGTATACTGTAGGTGATATTGTATGTTTGGAATGATCTGCTGCTAGTAATACAGTCTAGTGTCTCTCCTAAAGCCATACATTATCTGGAATTCTTAAGTAAAGCAATGTAGAATCCAATAACGATACTGAAATACACTTTAATAGGCTACAGTCAGATAGGTGAGGAAAATCCTGGCTAGTAACTGTACTTGTCCTCCTGCATAAGCCCACATGCTGAAGAGGCCATAGATAGGTTTTGATATTTTTTGTTGATTTCAGGCTTTGTCTAGAAACGGTAATCTTCTACAAAGAGATCCTGTCTGGCTCCTTGGACTGTCTACCCAAACATCTCCTCCACAGCGTCCATCAGAGATTTGCCAGTGTCAACACTTGCGGTTCATGAGAAGCAAACAGGATATATACAGCTGTATATAGTGATTGTGTTTTAGTTTTGTGTTTTCCTATTTTGGCTCAGTAGAGTTCTTAATTTAGTGTAAATATATTCAATAAATGTGGAGAATTTAAAATGTCCAGACTGATTCTCAGTGTATTTTGAACTCTAGGACAGCTGTACCTAGTACAATAGAAGAGAGTTGGTGAAGTTCCAGTTAATTCACATGACACTTGCCCAATGTAAGCAACCTCATGTGCTTGTGCTGGCCAGTGCACCCTTTTCAGAAAAAAAAAAAAAATTGAATTTTTTTTTTTTCACTAGAGCCTGGAAAACATTGTACCTGTGATCAGGGGGTGCAATGTCAGGCTCCTGCAGACAAGCCCTGAAGCTTCCAGCCTGTACCTGCAAATACAGGCTGTTTGCAAGCTGCAGGGCTTGTTTACGAGAATGCTCATCAACGCCCTTGCCATTCATTTAGAACTACAAGCTGTCAGCTGCCGTGGATGACAGTAGTTGGTAGTTCCTTCATTCACAGTAAACTGTAAGTAAATGGTGCGGCTGTGTGGGCGGAGTCTCACTGTTTTTTGAATTGTGTGACAGCGGGTGCAGGGAAAGGAGGAAGCTGTAGCTAAGGACCTGCACTGAAGGATTCTTTGTGTTTCCTCCACCGCTCTGGTTGCTTCTTGAATATGATTCCACCAGTCAGCAGGCTCTGACATGAGTAAGCAAAGCCTTCTGCTCTACCAAAATGTCTACATGCACCCAGTGCAGAAGGAGGTATGGTATTTCACTAATGGAAAAATGATCAGCTGTAGGAAAGGTACAGGCAATACAAATGACTACTCCTTTGCTCTCTACTTTTTTTTTTTTTTTTTTTTATTATTATTATTGGACACAGCTTCCAGCGTTCAGGTTCTGTTTAAAGTGTAAGTTCACCTTTTCAGCAAGGGGAAAAAAAAAAAAAAAAAAAAAAAAAAAAAAGGAAGAGAATGTGAACTAACCCACCCTTCTACACCAATCCATGGGTGATGAGCGGTCACTGCAGAGGATATAAGTGGCCAGGGATTTGAAATCTGGGATGGATCAGAGCGATTCTGATTCGTCAAAGCAGTTGCAAGTGCTGACCAATCAGAATGGATCTGATGCATCCTGGGAATCCAACAGGAAGAAGAGCAACTGTTCATGACACCTCAATCACTGGCTTCATCAGAGGATGAATGTTTTGTAACATGTCTGATCTCTATCACACTTAAACCATTGTGATTGGAAGTGCCCCAAACCATAGCAAGAGACTGTCCCGTCCACAAATATCTTATTTTGTTCAGAAGGATCAGTTTTGGGAAAAATGAGAAATTTAAGAAAAATACATTGCTCTTTATTTTTCATTGTGCAAAGTGAACACTTTGAATAAACTTATTACAACATAGAATTGTCTTAAAACAACTTCTGGCAGTTTTGATATAAAATAAAATCTTGTGGGCTTTTAGTAGAGGAATTCAAGTTTCTGTATGCAGTCACATCTCTGTGCACAGTGACGGTGCTCCCAGACAGCTGGATATCAGTGCACACAGATGTTTGGACAATTCAGACACAAGTGAACAACAAGAATATACTGAAAGCTTCTCAGGGTGACTACAAATAACTTGCAATGACTGTCTGCACTGCATTAGGTGCATTAAGTTTTTATGTCTTGCTTGGTATAGAACAAGCTGCATTGTGCTCAAGATTTACAGAAAAGTGCTTCTATACACAAACTTACTGTACAATCTTGGAACCAAATTACAGTTGTAAACAAGCCATTCTCCATCAATCCCCATACTCTACTGCTTCTTAGATTAGACTCAACTCAATGACAGTATTTCATTTCTGAGGCTCAAATGTGGTGTTCTGTAAAAACACTGATGCCAGGGGGAGAGCATGCACAACATTTTCCCATTGTGCGTTATAGCCGACACAAATGATAGAATTAGGGCCACTTTATTAACTGGGGGGGAGTTAGGCTGGAGATGTAAAGTGATAACCTCAAAGCTGGTAAAAGTGGGCTCTGATCTACATGAACTCTACACTGTGGGCACTGTAATCAGCAGAGATTACACGCACTTTCATCCAAGATTCTGCTGACAAGGCCTTCTTCGCCCAAACAGGCATAGAAAGTGGCAAGACACAGCACATATATTGCTTGGGAAACCTATACAAAATAAAACAGGCTGGCAGCTGACTACCAATCTTTGTTGGTGTGAGTGGTTACCTGCGGTTACACACAAGTGTCTGACTATGGTTGCATTCAGGATTGGACATCAGTCCCTATGCACAAGACGTGCAGAAATATTCACACGGCAACAGCTCCTGGCAGCCTGGTTCTGTTTTGTACAGGCTAAGCAGGCACAGCTAGAGGCCCAAGCACAACATTACCCTGTCTCTTGTCACTGTCCATCCCTGTGAATGAGGCTGAATACCTGAGAACATTACCCTGTTGCTCTAGTAAATGTGGCCTGGAACCAGGGCACTGCAGGACCCACTTTTATCGTTTTGGGGAAAGCAATAGACTTTGCTATCCCTTCTCATCTGCCAGCATAAGGTCCAGGTAATCTATAAACGTTCTGGCCATCTTTTAAAGAAAAAGTGAGAATTTCCTTTGAAGCTGCTTCTGTACTCTATTAAAAAAAACAATTGGGAGAGGGTTCAAGTGGGACACCCCTACAATCAGCACTGGTGTGTGCGAGTTTAAAGGGGATTTTTTTTTTTTTTTACACTCTCCCTCTTAAAGACAATTCATTGTTTACAGTGGAACCTTCTCTGTACAGAGCATGGAAAGGTTAGAACCACTGTTGGGAAATATTTTTCTCACTCCCTATTCCAGTGTCATCAGGACAGAAGGGGAAGGAAAATCTCTCCAATGTGGATGATGGAAAGCAATAATAGCTTGTCTTCCTATCCACTGTTTTTTTTTGTGGCTGCAGTTAAATTTCAAAGTGGCATTCCACTTTAACTCACAAATCAGAATGTTTACACCCATCTTTCTTTTAGGATTTTGTACCTAATCTGTCTGGCTGACAAAAACCCACCCCTTCTTACATTGGAGCCCAATTACATATTGTAGCGTTTTCACCTCACTTTTCTGCAGCTCCTGAGGAATTTTGTATGTACATTATGCACAGTCACTTTAATCAGATCCTCATTTCTTCTTGACATTAAGTAAATTAGGGGCTGACACTTTCACCTTTCCTGGCATGTTTCTGGACAAGTCTGTATCCTGTGAGACGAAAGTATTACAAGATTAAATACACATCAGACAGTAATGCCTGGATATAGACTGTAGACACTGTGTACATCTGGGAGTGTTCCTACCTTCACACTGCGTAGTAAATCCTTCTCTCTAGCAGAGCACTCCTTATAATGCATGAAACTGTTCAGTGCAGTCTTAGCAGCTGTTGAAAGAAAAAAAAAAAAAATGTTCAGTAGTCCACATAGGTAAACTGGACAGGGCTGATAACAAGGCTTGAGATTTCAGTGCAGCAAGGTGACAAGTTGCCAACTTCCTTGGACTGAAAAGGTTTTGTGTTTTTTTTTTTTTTTTTTTTTTTAAAGACAGGTACACACGGTCAGTTTTTTTTTTGTTTTTTTTTTTCTTCTTTTAGCTTAGCGCCTGCGGGCTGAATAAATAAACCTGGCAGATCGCCATACTAACACAAGCAATGTTAGTACAGCAATCTCCCCACTCTGTCTTTGTGTTTGGGGACTCCTTGCCCCATCCCCACAGCCTCCAGCCAGAAAACACTGATCAGCAGTCACAGCCATTGGCTGCGACTGTTGATTGGGTGCTGGTTTAGCAACATGTCCCTTCGACAAAAGCCGGTCGTGAGACTACCTTCTGTGAACAGACAACTGTACAGATGGGCCGAAAGTCAGATTGTTTCTGCAGGACCGGCCAATTTCAGCCGACGTTCGGCCCGTGTACAAGGCTTTACACTTTTTGAACATATATAACAATGTTATATTTAAAGATCAAAAGGGAGCAAATAAGAGAAGTTCATTGTTAGGGTTTTGGCAACCAAGGGTTTTTCCATAATGTGCAAGAATGCAGAGTATATTTTCACGTGATGGCTGCTATATCCTCACTGCCACTGCGGATCTTGTCCCCCAGTCTTCTCCTGGGTTTGGTACCTTTGTTGTCTTCATTCAACCAGATATGATGTGACTTCCACACACATGTATGGAAGTAAATTCATCCTGGCATGGAGCAGATGCTCCAGGACTGTACACCAAGAGGAGCATACACAGCTCAGTATCTATGCCAAAAACAATCATTGCTGGAAAGCAGGAAATACTTTTTTTTGCTCATCTGTAATAAAAACCTGCCTGCTTGCCAGAAAAGTTAAAAGAAAAAGCTTTACTTCAACATACCAGAAAGATGAAGAGGCACCGAGTTTCAGAGATTCTCCATAATATATGCAGTCTTCATGATTGTGCAATAGGTACTATATGTGTATGAACAGATGTATTACACACCCTGAAGACTGCAGGAACATCTAATTAGTGGGTGTTAGAAAAGGAATTTTCCCACTTAATCTTACCTTTTCCTTTCTTCTGCGTTCCTGGAGTTAGTTTAACTTTATATCTTTATTAGAAAAAAAAAAAAAAAAGACAACATATTTAAATATATACAAACACAATAATATAATTCAACAATTGCCCAACAAGATGAGGGAAACATAAAAATGGTAGAGTTTTCCTTTTGCAAAAAGTGGGCCTGTGACTTCAGAAGCACCTCCACAGAAATGGTCTTGTCCCCCAGTTAATCACTTGCCTACTGGGCACTTTTACCCCCTTCCTGCCCAGGCCAAATTTTCAGTTTTCAGTGCGGTCGCACTTTGAATGACAGTTGAGTTTTTTTTTCTAACTAAACGAAAAAAAGGCCAAAAATGTTGAAAAAAAAAAAGGAAGTTTTTCTTAGTTTCAAATATTAAATTTTGCAAACAGGCAGTTTATCTCCTTGTGTGCGGATGAGG